TGATAAGGTGGGGCCAGGTTTCACAATGAGCTCACCTGAAACTCTGGCTGATTGGGACCCACACCCAGTTTCAAACCTTGGCTCAGGCAATTAGAGGATCATCAGGGGGTCCTTTTATCCCTCTGTGGGGGGATACTCCCACTAGGTTTAAATCTGGGACTCCCCACCATTTGACCTTAGAACTGAAGAAGCTTCTCAGATGAGAGGTGAAACGTCTTCAAGCAACTTAAAGAAATCCAGACGCTTTTCTTTGCAAGCTCCTTTGACTACGATGACCTGGATGATTGAGAACCTTCACAGACTTATTTTGTATTATTTTGGTATTTATGTCACGCATTTATTGCTTTTATTTCAATGATAATTCTCCTTTTTTTGTTTTACTTTTATTCACTCACAGTCTGAAGGTGTTGCCATGCTGAATTTCATGCCACAATATTTAATAATTGTTATCAGAAATATTTTTTAGCCTCAGCTTTGGATTTGAAATGGCATAAAACCCTTCACTTTTTTCCTTTTTCTTTTGGCTTCAGAGTATTTATCTGTTGGATTATCCTCAGTAAAGAGGAAGAAAGGCAGCTATCTGGTCCCCACATTGAAATCCATCTTCTCCCAGTCGTCTCCTGAGGAGCACTCCTCCATGGTGGTGGTAGTGCTGCTAGCATATTTCGACGTCAGCTGGAGAGTCGACACTGTGAAGGAGATCAAATCGGCTTTTGCCTCTGAGTTGGAACAAGGCCACCTTTTGGTCATCCATGTTCCCCAGGACTGGTACCCTCCGATTACAGGTGCAGCTCACATGCGATCACCCCTAGTGTACATATTCATTCACATACAGTTTGAATGGGGTTTTTTTTCCTCTGATACAAATCTGTCTGGTTCTCTGTAGGTCTGAAGAGGAATTTCAACGATGCTCCAGAGAGGGTAACGTTCCGCTCCAAGCAGAACCTGGATTATTCCTTCCTGATCCACTACTGTGCAGGTCTTGGACGGTATTACCTCCAGCTAGAGGATGATGTGTTCTCTGCAAAAAACTTCCTCACAACCATTAAAAAGCGAGTTGAGGAGCAAGAAGGAAAGAAGTTCACCTGGGCAACGTTGGAATTCTCTGCCCTCGGCTATATTGGTAAACTCTACAAATCAGCCCATCTTCCTCTTCTGGCTCGCTTCCTCTTCATCTTTTACCAGGAAATGCCCTGTGACTGGCTGATGACTCACTTCCGAGAGGTGATGACTCAAAAGGAGACCATCCTTTTCAAACCCTCGCTGTTTCAACACATGGGAACTTTCTCCTCATTTCAAGGCACATACAATAAGCTGAAAGACAAGGATTTTGAGGAGGATGTCTATACCAATCCATCAGCTGAAGTTTACTCTGACATGTCCACCTATCAGAAGCACTTCCCCAAGCTGGCCTGGGATGCTGGCGAAGGATTCTTCTGGGGCCGCACCCCAGAAAAAGGAAATTACCTGACTGTAGTGTTTACTGAACCTACTGTGGTGACAGGGATATTTGTAGAAACAGGGTCAGGAGGCAAAGACATTCTGGAGTCAGGTGAGGTGGAGATGGGTCACAATGTGGTGGCCACAGACAAAGAGAAGAGTTGTACAGAATTTGAGTCCGTGGGAGCATTTGAGAATGGAAAGTTTAAAATGCAGGAGATGGATAAAAAGTACAGCTCAGCCTCTTCGTGTCTGAAGATAAAGGTCACAGCTACTCAGAAGGACTGGTTGATCATTACGAAAATCAGAATCACCACAAAGCTGACTGTACCTCATCAATAGACGTACATGTTAGTTTTTCCTGGCCGATTTAAAAACAATTTTGATCAAAATCTGACAAACTGAACTTGGGACTTGTGTGCCTTGTTAAAATGTTTTATTTATCATACATCAACTAAGTGCTCTAAGCAAATTGTCACTTTGAAGCAAGTTTGACCAAACTTTGTGATGACATGTTGTCTCTTCACAGAATCAAAGAGCTATAAGCAGACAACCAACTCCATGTGTTGTATGTATGTATGTATTGTTAATGCATTTGGGTAATTGCATTGTGTGTGAAACTGCACTCATCATTAACTCATTGTTTTAAAATGAAGACGAGAGAAAACCCATGTGCTTATTATGAAACCTATTGATTGTAGGTTGAAACCTACAGTCAATTGTTTGTCTCCCCTCACCAGTATCAGGCCTGCTATGGCCTTTCGCACCAGCAGCCTGATTCAAACCTCAGGCCAGATCTATAAATAGTGTACGTCTGTCACATGTTACAACAACTACACAGAGGGGATAAAAGACGCCGGGTCCCATTTGCAGTCTGATCTTTCTGTCTTTCTTTCTTTTCTTTTTTTTAATAGGAATTTTTGCTTTCTTAAATACCTCAGCTCCTTTTTCCAATAAGTACATATGTTTTTATTTAATTCCGGGGGGTGCACTATAAAGGGTAATGGGTTAACAAGGTATGTTGAGTTTTCAATATCACAAAAGCAGTACACTGGGTTCTTTCTGTTGGCTCACACGATTAAAAGTCTGGGTTCAAATGTGCCAACTGAAAGTTTTATTTGGAGTATACATGTTCTCCTTGTGTCTGTGTAGGTTCTCTTTGGGCACCGTAGCTTCCTCCTACAGTCCAAAGACATGCACGTTAGGTTAACTTTTGGTTGTAAATTTTCTGCAGGTGTGAATGTGAGCATGAGTCATCGACCATTTTTCTGTTGGTCTTGTGATGGACTGGTAACCAGCTCAGGTGACTCTTGGCTTCAGGCTCCCATGCCCAAATCTAAATCTGATAAACAGTTAAGAGGATGGATGGATCCCTTGACTAGATTAAATTTTTATTGCACATCTAACTTGCTTCAGACCAGTTTACACTCTTTTGCATTAAACTGGGCTGATAAAAGCATGCCAAAGTATCCTTGGGTAAGATACTGAATCCTGATGTATTCATCTGATTGTGAGTGTGTGTGAATGTTACATAGAAAGCGCTTGAACACTGATGTATAATTGGGTGAATGAGACATCTTGTATAAAGTGCTCGAGTAGATAAATGCTACATAAGAACTAGTCCTTTTACCTTTTCTGCATGCAGAGTTAGCCACTGTGGCAACCTGTTGTGAATAACAGAGCAGACAAAAGTAGCTCTTTCTCTCTGAGAGAAAGTGTCCATCCATTAGCCACCTGTTGAACAGCATGTTTTTAACACAGCCCAACAAAGATATGCACTGAAGACACAAAGGTATGTCTTTCCACTGAAACCTGCATTCATTCAGCTAATTAGACAAATCTGTTCCACTTTTAGAATATATAACAGATAATAATCAGTGAGATTAATTTCACTTTAATTTGGCTAAAAACTAAATTTCTGCATCTACTTCTTTGTAGGGCAGTAATTAAGGTTTATAGTGTAAAAAGTAGATTTAAAAATATTCTGTGAGAATGCCCCTCTTGCCTTTTTTTTTTTTTTTGGCACTGCCAATTTTCCTTTCATGGTCACATGCCCTGCTTCTGGATTGAATTATGAAGTATCCAATCAATCCATTTCATGTAATAAATGAACACATACCCCATCTTCTGGGAGCACCCACAGATTCCAAATTAATACAGTCTGGATTAACAAAGAAAGAGGACAAACACCACAGTATTTGCCAAAAACTCTGACGTCAGCCGTTCATGGTTTGATATAGTGGGAGACGAAAATGGACTGCTTACAATTTTCCAATGTTTAGCTTTATAAAACAGAGCCCAGTGTATACAAAGCTTTACAAATGTGACAAACTAAAGCGGCAAAATGCTGCTGAACCTATCACTAACCAACAGCGTGTGTGAGAGAACAATGCATTTTATTCTTCTCCATCATTCAGTAATGCTGGAACTCATTACACTGGTCAGCTGACGGAACAATAAGAGATTCTTGATTGGCAAACTTGACAAAAAAATTTCAGATTAGAGGTAAAAGGCACAGGAGAAGTGAAGGGCTGATATAGTGGGCAGTTTGAGTGCAATCAGTAAAATTTGAGGCAACACCAATAACATTTCCTTGTATTACCATTTTTTTCCTTTCCATAATTCACATGCTGAAAATGGATTCATTACAACTGGTCAACTCTACTATTGTTCAGGTGTATTTATTTTTCTAGGTTTCTGTCATTTTCTGATGCACTGAGAAATAAAGGACTGTTCACAGGTCTTGCTGTATGTTTCTCTGTCTCTGCTCGATGGATGCTTGTGATGGCTGGCTGACTGCTTTTGCTGACATATTTCTTGTTTGTCTCCCCTCACCAGTATCAGGCCTGATATGGTTTTTCTCCACAGCAGCCTGATTCAAAGCTAAATTATTTTCAGCTGCAGAGCAATGGCTAGGCAGCCTGTCATTTCCTGTAGCTTGTTCTGTTGCTGCCTGTGAGCCTGCCCGGTTCTGGTTGGCAGTTCTGTCACTCCCAGTAGTGGACCAATTCTGAGAAGCTGGTCGGGCTTCAGCTGCAGCAGACTGGGTGGCATCATCCTGCAGTACTTTCAAACTGGTCTGAAAAGGATTGAAACAGAAGCTGAAACATTAAAATTCACTATACTTTTTAATGGTACTGCTGTTAAATGATTGAAAACAAAGTGCTTTAAAAATTCTGCATTCTTTATAATGTCAGGGCCCTGTTCCAGGAAGCAGATTCAAACTCTGAGTTTAAAAACAAATTGATCAACTCTGAGTTTCTTGTTCAACCTGATTTAAACACATGCGTTAGTTGAAAAAGATCAATGTGACCAATTACCACATAGTTTGTAACGTACAGTAAATGTTCGCAGTGTAAGAAAACTAACTGACAGCATTAATGTCTACAGAATTACAGAGATGGAGTCTATAGATTTGATTCTGAGCTGATAATAAATCTGTGACGTAATCGTTGTCTCTGAGAGCTGAATAACTGTGAAAGCGTTATACATCGAGCAATCGTGGCTCAAGAGTTGTGTGTTCGTCTTGTAATCGGAAGGTTCGAGCCCCGGCTCGGACAGTCACCTACCGCCTACTGGTGTTGGCCAGAGGGGCCAATGGCGCGGTATAGCAGCCTCGCTTCTGTCAGTCTGCCCCAGGGCAGCTGTGGCTACAACTGTAGCTTGCCTCCACCAGTGTGTGAATGTGAGAGTGAATGAATAGTGGTATTGTAAAGCGCTTTGAGGGGTCCTGAAAAGTGCTATATTAAAGCAGTAATGTTAAGTACAAAAATAATTAAGCAAACCAATGTTTCATGAAAATTGTAGAATTCTGCAAATGAATTCTCACATCTTTGCAACTTAATGAATGAAGTTAATGAAGAAATGAATTATCATTATCATCATGCACCTGGTTAAAATGCAGCAGAAGGTGAGGACTCAGAGAGAAACTCAAGTTTCTGAGCGAACAGATTAAGTTCAAAGATTGGTAGCACTACAATCTTAAGCACAGCAACTCCACTCACAGTGAGCACCTATGCAAGGCCTAATCTCTCAGCTCAGGGATTGCGCATTGCCTGACCAATATTGCATGTCCAGTAGACATAAAAGCAAACCCAAAATAAAAAAAATCAGTTTTAAAATGTGACCGTACTCTAAAACCAACTTGGGAGGAAAATGCCAAAAAAAGGAGGAGGAAAAAACAGTGACAAATTCACATGTCCAGCCTGTCCTGTAGCAGGCAATATAATATAAATTACATTGCACTGCATAAATATCCTTTTTTTTTAATGTCAAATATATTAAATTAACATACCTCCAGCTGACTACTATGTTTGCTGCACAACTTGCTTGTGGTCTTATAAAATCACTACTAAAAACATGAAATACAGGGTGGGCCATTTATATGGATACACCGTACACTGCAAGAAACAAATAAGCTAAAGGAATTCAGTTTATAACTGTTTGCTTTTCTTTAAGAACTAGTCCCGGTAGACAACTTGTGCTTTTTAATTCTTCTTCTTTTTACTCCCTCTCAGTACTAATATTGATTTAGAAGTTTTCATAGACTTGGCTTACACACTAGCAGGGCTGAGGTCATCCACAGAACTGCCTTCATTCTTGGCACAGTGTTCCTACTGTAACTGTTATAGCGCAGCTGTAGTCACCAGATAATGTCAAATGCCAAAAACTGTGTGCCACACACAGAAAACTGTCATAAAGTAAGCACATCTAATCAGTAACCCCAATATAAAGGAATACTTTTTAACATTTTTACATTCTTAACTTGCTGACATTTGCTAATGTCAGTGACCATGAGCCACGGACGGAAGTGTGACTGTAGCATTAAAAGTCTTTACTACCACTTACTATGTGCACAAGAGTAGGAAGGGGGGAGACTAGTCTTAGCTGAACTAAGGTCTGGGCACATGCTCTTTTGACTGATGTTGGATATACTAGTTTAATCAAATTCATCTTGGAGCCAGACCGATATCCCCCTATTACAAATATATTTCAATGAAAAGTCCCAATAGGTTGCAAGCAATTAGTCAGCTTTAGTTACTGATGTGCATATCAAATATATAAGGCTGGCCCTTCATTTGCACAATAACTCCAAAGTTAGAAACATCCTGTTTCAAAGAGATGCTGAAAAGATTCCTGAAGTTATTACTTTCAGGCTTGACAACTCAAAGTAATTCAGCAGACTGCCATAAAGGCTCCCTGAAAAAAAGCTCCCAGTTGATTCAGAAAGCTGCAGCAACAGTTCTGACAGGGACTGGGATTAAGTAGGATTTCAGGAATGTAAAGTAATTTTACCCTTCCAAAACAAAACTTTTATTCAGTGCCCTACTGGCTTTGAACCAATTCTCATACTTCAGGAAGCAGAGAGCAGAAAGAGGCCCAAAGGATTTTATTCAGAACTGTGGAAGCGGAATCAGTCTCATTGCTGTCAGGGTATGATGAGGTGGAGGAAGGCCAGATATCAGAGCAAGAAGTTGAAAGCTAAGAGGAAGACATATCAGCTTTTGAAGAGCCTGAGCAGGGACAGTGTGACAGATGTACCATCTGTAATATTAAGAACTGTTTAATGTAGGACTCTGAAGCTTTTAGCCATTATTATATCTAGAAGGGGGAATAAGAACCCTTTCAGTGTCAAAGGTTTGTGGAAACCAAATGTGATGTGCAGACACTTGGAGACAAGATCATCTTAAATAAAAGTGGGTGGTTTATTAGATTGAACTTCCAAGAACAAAAACTGAGCATGAAAATACAAAAGAAACTAAAAACCTTGGATTACACAACCTAAACTGGGAAAATACTCAGAGGTACAAGGGGCTAGATAACACTGAGGGAAACTGAACAGATAAACAAAGGGAGACTGACACAACACATACGCAATATATACACAGGAGGATGAGTAGGGGAGGGCTGGGAAAAACAACAGGGACAAATTAGACACATTGAGACAGAGGAAGCAAAACGGAACATTTAGCACACAAGACAAGGGACTATCAAAATAAAACAGGAAAGATAAGCACACAGGATTAAGACACACAAGCCTGACAAAAGCAACAGAAACATGATAGCCTTAACATGGAAGGTACTAAAGGATGAAACCCAGAGATGAGACAAAGGGAAGAGTAAGTTCACAATTAAGCCTAAAGTTATTTATGACTAAACTGGAGACCTCAAAGCCCACTTTTTCAAATCCAAACAATAATGAATGAAATTATAGATTCAAAGGTTGCTGGTGTCATCAACCCCAAACCATGATATTCAGTTGAATATATGAAACATTCTGGAGCAAAACATTCTTCAGCATATCTGTGGTTACTGAATGGCTCAGATAACCTAGGATCAGAATTTAGTCTTTCCAAGTTATAATAGTTATTATTTAATAGTTAGAAGTTATATTGCCTTGTAACTGATAAACAGGAAAAGAATAAAGCCCTGTGGAAAGTCAGGGCTTTATTCCGCCTCTTAAAGCCACTTAAACATAATGCAACAAGGCTGCAACACAGGCTAGTGTCCTGCATGGAAACTGAGAAACCAAATGCCACAATTTCAAAGCCCCAGCTTACACAATACTTCTTATCCATAATAGCTTTGCCTGTTGTCATTTTTCCCTTTCTCGGGTTCCCCAAAAGCTGGTATGTCCTCTGTGTGAACTTTCACCTTCTTGCTCTATTGTCTGGCATGCCTCCACATTATCTGCTGTAGGGCTGCAAGGATTCGTCGCCATAATCGCTGTTGTCGAATATATAAAATTTGTTGACACAGAATTTTATTGTTAACGTTTCATATCCCCATTTGAGAAGCTCATGCACCTTTCAAATGGCTGAAGTCATGATAGAGAGCATCTTTAGCATAGTTATCAACAGCTGGGAACATCATCTCAAAGATAAGAGCAAGCCTCATTCCAGAGCATGTTCACTGCAATCGGAAATTAATGAACTGAACCATCTCTAAACTCGAAAATAAAATCTTTTTAAATTAATTTGAAACTTTATTCGAACTTGTGGACAGAAGCCATTTTAGTTTCCTGTTTGCACATTAATTTTGTTTAAATACTACTTGCACTTAAATTTGTGTTACCTAATATTTTCATTTATTTCATTTTTATTCTGACGGTCTTATGTTAAAAATACATCTGATTTTTTTCAAATTCATATGTTTTCTGGGTCATGAGATAACAGGGTGAATTTCACGGGTAGGCAGACTTGAGCAGGTGAGGCACTAAAGCCAGAACATGAGGTCTGCCCACAGGAAGCAGACATAAGAGTTGCTGAAACAATAGTTGACTAATCGACTAATAGAAGAAAAATTAGGCAGATTAGTTGACTATCAAAATAATTGTTAGTTGCAGCCCTAATCTGCTGACTGCTCTAAGTATGACTCCAGTTCTAAGGAAAACCCTCTCTGCCTCGCTCACCCATCATCATTATTCTGCGATCAAATAAAACCTGATATCCACTTCAAGGGACAGAAGATAATAAATAAGTAAATGAAAAATGTGAAACAAAATGATGACGCAACATGTTTCTTTGAAAAACGGAACCAAAATTATCTAAAAAAAATAATAATAAAACTCCTCATGGGTGTTAGATTGCCTCTGCCTTTGTCCGTCCCAAGTGAGCCCCCAGTCAAGTTTCTAAAAGGTCCTCTCCACCGGGGTCGGCCCTCCAAAGCACTCTCTCTGCCTTACAGCCGGTCCCTATGGCTCATTTGTCTTACCAGGCAGACCCTCAGAACTACCCCTTTGTTTTCTGGACTCTTGGGTTCCTTATTGTTTTTCTTTGGTCCTCTTCCTATTCTGTTTTGGTCCAGAGTGACCAGAGAGACCTTTAAATGTCAACGCCCTGAGGCAACCTGAAGCCAGCTAATTTCCATCCTCTCACCATATGGAAACAAGACAGTAGCTCCGGTTACTTACAACCTATTTGTATATTCCTCCTCTCCAAGAAGATATTATTTGGAGTGGTATAGTTATGGTCTTTCAAAGATAAGCATGGCCTCCCTTTAGCTTTAAAGACATAATCTGAACAGTGTCTTTAGATACAGAAGATATTAGGAGCATCTAGAAAGTTTTTCCATTTGATGACACACTAAATACATTTTTAAGGATATGACGTAACATCTGAACAAAAATCTGACTCAGTCAGATATCCTGTAAAATGTGATTGTTAATGCACCACAAATATGTAAACTTGTGCTATAATTTTTCTGTAAAGCAAATTTACCTTGCCTATGGGCATAAATAAAGTTACCTTGACCTTGACCTTGACTTGTGGAAAGTAATATGTACCTACAATTTTCCAACCATAACAATAACAAGTCTTCACTGCTCATTTCTTTATATTTTGTTTCCTGGAGCCAGATTTTCTTGCAATTTTTAAAGTGGTCTTGAGAAATAGTGTTCCAGGCTTTCCGAAGATTTTTTAAACTTTTACTTTAGATATTGGTTTCTTTTTCACTCATTTTCCATCCAGTCTTTTTACCTGACTGTTTTCAGAGGAATGTTCTTTTTGTGGTCGTTTGTTAAGCTACTGAACAATGAATATATCATAGAATATCATAGAATCCTATGAAAATTGTCTCTTTCACATGAGTGTAGTTGCTGATGAAAGCATTCACAGCAATATGCTTTCTCTGTACTCATCATAGTGAATCAGTAATGTTTGTACCAAAGCATGTAGTTAAAAATAAAGATAGTCTTCGCTGAAACCTGCTCAGGCAGTCTGAAGATTCAGCTCAAACATTACCGTTTACTTGGAAAGATGAAGCAGTACTCGGCAACTTTTTTTTGGGTAAGTCACATGACTGACAAACACTGTGAAAACAGCACAGAGTTTGTGAAAACATCAGTCTAGATGGAAAAATTGTTAGTATACACTCAACACCACACCAGGCTGTTGTGTTTGTGTGGCTCTAACCTGCTCGCCAGTTTCCTTCTGCCTATTTGTGCTTTTGCTGCCTCTGTGTGGCTGAGACATGTCAGCGTTCTTTGGGTACAGCCCCCATGATTTGAGCCTGTTGAGGCCCTCCACAGAGCGGGCGGTAGGGTTGATTCGCTCTCCTGGGATGCGAGCAGGTAGATCCCAGGTGCCTTTAAAGTCAGGCCATGCAAGGCGTCTCTGTAGCAACACACACGCAGTAAGGGAGTGAAGTCATATATTCACAGTGAAAAACGTCACTTCCAGTGAAGAGGGGAAACAAGAAAGATGTGATCTCACCTTCCCCACTCCTGGGAGCAGGTGTCCTCTATCATCAGCAATGAAGGTGGTACGGCCCACCTGTGCACTAGGTCTCTGCAAATACCCACACATAGAGGGAGATAAAATCTTTGTACAAATCTATTTTTGCACGAATTTATTTGAATCTAACACGAAATGGAAATGATCAAGAGTTGAAAACTTCCTATACCTCTTTGAAGTGCTTAGTCTCACACCAGTTCTGCAGCCTGTGCGGTTTAAAGGCGCCGTCATACTGTGAATAGAAGTTTTAAAACGCATAAACAGAGAAGTAAAATGGGTAATGTTTAGAGTTTTTATTGGCATTGTTATTTAGATTACCTGGTTTGCCGAATAGCTGGAAGACATTGCTGGATCTGTAAATTACGGTCTCCTAATCTGTTTAATTGTTGACTCGTTGCTTAGCAATGTAGATAAACAGACTTCTCCCTACAACAGCTTATTTGAAAAGAGTTACAAACCTGAAAAAACCCTCATATGAATCAGTTTGTACAGTTTATTTATTTTTTGTTTGTGTTTTTTTGTTGTTGTTCATACATGTTTTATCAGTACTATCTGATTCCGTGTTTGTAATGATTAATTTACAAGTTGTTTTATTGGCCTAAATGTGATCTGTTCCGCCTTCAGGGGCTTTTATTTTGAAAGATCTAAACGGAAGTTATGAGGTAGAAATGATTTCGTATGTCAAAACACATCATGTGCGGATGCTTGCGTTTAATTATGTTATTATTTTCCTGCAGACGGGATTGCACAGAGTGTTGCATAAAGCATATTTCTTTCTTACGCACTTAAATAAATAAATAAATATATATATATATATATATATATTAACCGGAAGTCCAACTATTTTTCTTCCGGGTATTACTAGCGGCAACTGAGAAGACAAGTTGATTAAGATATGTAACTAACAAGCAGATCTTGTGTTTGTTTTTCAAAAAGTAGGACTAAATATATCACGTAGAATTTGCACTTTGGATGGGTAAGTTAAAAGTTTACAATGAAACTCACAGCCTTCAATTATCATCTTGTTGACTCTTGTAGACAGTCTGTGCTTTTTTTCTATTGTTGGTTACCCCTGCTTGTACTCCACTAGACATGGAGGGACCATCTGCTTACTCGACCGCATCTCTGCGCGTTGCTGGAAGGAGAGACTCTGGTGGGGATATAGAGGCTGACCCGAGCCGTGACACGAAACACTTTCGCGTTTGTCGTTTCATCATGGAGACAGGTAAACCAGGGGTGGTCTGTGTGTGAGTGTGAGAGAGGGTTTAAAGAGCAAGTTTTCAGGGCTATAAAGTAAACTTATCAAGTCTTACCTGCCAGGAATGAAAAGTAAAGTCTTTGATTTAAAAAAAAAAAAAAAGTATAATGAATTCAGATTAATGTATCAGCTGATTTACGTCATCAGTTGTATCAAAAGTAAAAAAAAAAAAAAAAAAGTGGGTTGTTGTTCATTTTTATTAATTGGTTTCATGTGTTTTGAGATCGCTGTTCTGTTCGAACACTCAGTTATTATCAAAGTTTCAGCTAGCCAGCTAGCCCTTAAGGTGTGCTGAAGTTGAAGAATTTGGAGGTAGTCCTCCTTCTTCATAATGCTGTCTATTTTGTGCAATGTACCTGTACAATTCGTACCACCACAAACGGCCCCAGAGCATGATACTTCCACCACCATGCTTGGCAAGATGGTACAATGTTCTTAGGTTTGAAAGCTCCACCTTTACTCCTTAAAACGATCTCTTGTTATTTTGTCCAAAAAGCTAAATGCCTAAAGTCAAATGCCTAAAGAGGCAACCATGTGAG